TAGCATTTAACATTTACACTTAAAATCTTTATTATCACTTTGTACAGTTCAAGTCAAACAAAAATGTACATTTCTAAACTTACAGCATATAAACAAAGTCACGACGGAACGAAAAAGTTCAAACTAAAAGTGCACTTGCAGTAGGAGACGAATTAATCACACCATCGCCAAATAATAATAATAAAAATAAATTCTCACTTTTCTTTTTACTTCTAAGATTTTTTAGATTCTGTTTTCAGTGTGTTGGCTCGTACAGGGTTCAGGATACGTTCTCTACGCTTTGACTTAACAGTAAGTTTAGGTTATAAACTGGTCTCGTCCTCCTGCAGCAGCAGAACCACAGACCATGAACATCACTGTCACACAGAGGAAACCATGGTGAAGTGGAATTCCCCCATTTGTCTTCACTGAAACACAATCCTCCGCTTAAACCAGGGACAAGCTGCTCTCTGTGGGACCAACAGAAATGAAAACTACCAGAAAGGTTCAAGAAAAAACGAATCTTCACCAACACTGTGTGTTTGGACACCAAGTAGCCATGTTTTCTCAAGCATGGCACAGGGTCAAAGACCGAGTGTGGTTTTCCTGTGACGTCCCTTGTGCTCGGTGTGCGTGTGGAGGAGTGTGAATCAGTGTGAAGTCATGGAAAGAAAATTCCCAGCAGCAGCAGCAGCTGAGAACTTTTTTTGGGGGGGAGGTTTTAATCGGATTCTTTCACTTTAGGGCTTTAGGGTTCAAGTATGGAGTGGTAGTCGTCAAATTTTGTGCTTTCAACCTGACCTACAGTCTCAGTGGTTTTATAACGGAGTGAAAAATATCATTTTGTATATTTATTTTCTTAAATTAGATACAGCGTAAGTTTTAGAGAGACTAACGTTTTGATTATCTCAGTCTGGACATTACCGACACATTCTTCCAAGCACTGAAGGCCAAAGGAATAATTTTGATTCAAAGCTAAAAGCTGGTTAAAATGGGAGGTTGTATTTGAGGAGTTTATAACCATCTTTCAATAAAAGCACAGAGTATATAGTAAATAAAAAAACAAACAGCTAAATATGAACAGACGTCTTTGTGAAGGTTAAAACTCAAAATAATGATTTCTGTCCAGACAGCCCTTAAAAATAAACGTCAACTAAGCAGTTTACCAGTCGTCATTTACAAACAGTGACATGCAGATGCAGAGTGTAGGTCTGAGTGAATTCAAGACAGAGAAAATCATGAACAAAGACAAAAAGACAGTAGCAGGGCAGCCCATACACTCAACCTGTGACCTGTACTCATCTGTTAAGGAAACTGAGAAACAAGCTGTTTTTTTTGTTTGTTTGTTTTTTTTGAACAGAGATTTTCCTCGTCATGATCCCGGTGTGTTCACACTAAGAGGTTCTCCCTGTCTCCAGACACAGGTGCAAAGTTGATGACCCCCTCAGGTAAGAAGACGCTCCTCTTACCAGAGGTCAGGGGTCAGAGGGTTGGTCAGTGCTCTACACAACCCATTGTCCAGGTGGTCCAAGGTGTGTGGTGTGGGAAGGTGGAAACAAGATCCACACACCAAAAAACACCTGGTGCTGAGACGTGGGAGACAAGAGGAAGGGAGACAGTGGTCACCGCATCAGGTGGAGACAGAATCATTCAGTAAGTTCCTCTCTCTCCTCTGAAGGTGAATCCTTCTTAAAGTGTTTCCCAAGGGCTTTAAATACATCATATCACTTTGAATAAGGACTCTTTAAGCCGAGGTTGATCCTTCATATTCACTTATCTTTCATAAAAACTTGGTCTGTAGCGCAAAAAAAACTTTTTCGTGTTTTTTTTGAGTTGGTCGATAAAAGTCGTGTCCTCACACGCCTCGGATCAATAAATAGTACCGCCCGGATGTAATACATATACCACACCTGCGTGTGGTGCTGTAAACAGACACAGACAGAGTAACTGGACACCAGAAGAAGGCGTTTCTAGTTCAGGATTGTCTGTAATTTTGTGTGCATCTCCGATCCTCTTGCAGGTGACAGAGGGCGGCGAGATTTAATTGCGATGATGCTAATAAACCTAGCAGCGCCTGCAGCACAAATACAACTTTACTACCCACCATTGTTGTTATTACCGTTAACTGGCGTGCCAGGTTCTTTTGGTCACGTAACAGTCCTCATGACAACGGCACGGCAGAATTGTCAGATTTTTCCACTCTGGAACTCGTTTTGACAAAACAACATTTCAGGGCACCTTCAATGCTAGTGCCAGGTAGAGGGGAGGTCGTAATGATAGCGTACTTCACCATTTCGAACCAATAACATTCCTGTGTGGACATGTCCTCATAAGACTTCTCTGTACATTGTTTACAAACACCAAACAAAAAAACCTGTAGTTCAAGTAGAACGATGGCGGGTCAATGATATGATCATGGTACTCCCTTAGTTTTTTGGCAACATTGTTCCTGTGTGCAATGTCAAAATAATTCTTTTTGCGAATACTTCCGATATGTTCCGAAATACTATGCTCTGGTTCTGTTTAAAGCCCTTGGGAAATACGGAAAATTGCGCTAATATCAAAAGAGACTTAAAGACAGAGTTCAAACCACTGACCTGTAGGGGGTGCCCCGTCAGCGTTGGCCAGCAGGTGAGGCCCCCGTGGACCCCTGATGTCTAGCAGTTACACTGCTGCTTGGTCTGTGTGGTCGTGCTCCTCGGCTGCCGCAGCTGCCTCAGTGACGCATCTCCGTACTGGATTCCTGAGCCCATCCTCTCTGGGTCCAACTCACCTGAGACGGAGCCCAGAATAAAAACTTACTCAAAAGTGCATCCTTTAGGCTTCAAGCCCGTACTGTATATACTAAGTAGTGTCAGATGTTTGTACAGCATCTTGACATTTGCATAGACTGCAGACGCCTCACGCCCACGCTCAGCCTCTTAAACAAACAGAGGAGCCTCACCCGAGTCTATCTTGTTGAGGATGGTGCGAGCGCACTTCAGAAATCCTTCTTCTACGTTCTCGCCCGTCAGAGCACTGGTCTCCAAGAACATCAGCTCGTTCTCCTGAGCGAATCGGGACGCCTCTAGAAAGGTCACCTCCCTGTCTGCGTCCAGGTCTTTCTTGTTACCACACAGGATGATAACGATGTTGGGACTGGCCAGCGTTCGGGCATCCGTCAGCCAGTTGGTCAGGGCGTTGTACGTCTCGCGGCTGTAAGGTGAGGGACACGGAGGACAAGTCAAAGCCGCTGAGGACGAAGGAGTTCCATGTAGTATTTCTCATTCACATTAGTCACACGGAGAGACGTCGGATTAAGATATGAACTAATCTGGCTGGGATATGAAATCCTCGCGTCAACATGTCTGAAAACTCAACAAACACACAGTTGCTCAAGGAAACTTCTTGGCCTTGACGCCACCGGTTGCCATGGACACAAAACACCGTGCCCATGGCAACACAGGGTCAGAGAGGTGCACAGAAGAGTGTGGGTCAGCAGTGGGGAAACTAAAAGCTGGAAATGTTTAACAGCTGCTCACAGACAGAGGATGACATCGTTTCTCTCTGGGGCACGCAGAAGGAAGGTTGACTTTTTTTTTAAATCAACCTTCCTGTCCATCTATTTTGTCTTTTTGAAATCAACCTTCCTGTCCATCTATTTTGTCTCACTTAGTTTCACTTCTCAGTGAAACAATGTTTCTCTTACCAGCCCACCACCTTTGTTTGGCTCTCTATCTACATCCACCCTCCTCCACCCTCCGCCTCATGTGACCCTCTCTGTGATTGACTTCCGCCGTCTGACAGACGATGTCTCGACAGTATTGCCGCTGCCTCCAGCCCGACTCCACTGAGGACCATACATTTTTACAATCTCAGACCATATTAGATTCCTGTCTCCTTCCATCCTGCAGTGAGTCCAGAGATTGTGCAATACAGGCCCATGAGTGGACCTGGTTATTTTTAACCTGATTGCTAACACAGCTAGACATGGCTTTAATAACAGGGGGATAATAACATACAGTTTCATGAAGGTAATTCATGCAATCACCAATAAAAGACGATTTTTAAATGGTCAGGGTCAGTCAAGTGTTAATAACAAATGTCAATAATAAATATCATGACTTCAACTGACCAACTTGTAATTCACTGTAATTCCCAGTCACATTTATTTCATTTTCACCAAAAATGTGTAAAAGACCAGAATTAAAAAATGGAGACCAGAGAATATTTAGAAGATATTTACAAAACGTTAAAAGCCAAAAGAAAACGGATCAAATCAATTTTCAATTTTCATGGCAACAACATAAGACTGTTGTTTGATAATATATAATAATTTGGTGATGTTTGTATTTTTAGGTGACACAGCTCTGTGGGAAATAGAGTGACATTTAGTGTGCTTACCAAACTCAACCCAAACCACAGTTTGACACCATTAAAAAACAAAAACAAATAAAAAAAAACATTTTCTGCCAAGTTAACATGACCACCTTAACAGAAAGTGTGCAGAGCTTTTAGACCAATAGTCTATTTCAATTTAATTGAATTTTTATCACACTCCATTTCAATTTAATTGAATTTTTATCACAGACTGTTGGTGCCAGGCTTCACTCAGTAACATTAAAGTAAGTGTAATTAAAAAAAACAACAACATAAACATACTATGTTGATGCCATATTTGTGAAATTATTATATAATTAACGGACTGCCCCCAGCAGGCACCAAGCATGTACCTTTAGACCAATACTCTATTTCAATGTAATTGAATTTTACTGACTGCCCCCAGCAGGCACCAAGCATGTGGTTCCTATAGGAATCGAAACCCGGACTCTCTGCTCTCTGCTTCAGAGGCCGGCGTGCTAACCACTTCACTATTTATAACAAATGCAAAAAGGCAGCGACGGTTTTACCTGGTTATATCGTAGACCAGCAGGGCTCCAGCTGCCCCTCTGTAGTAGCTGCGTGTCACTGATCTGTGAGGAAATATTGGTAAAAAGAATCTGTGCATAATGTCAATTTTAGACAGTGATTGGTTTTTGAAGAAAAGAAGGAACTTGTTGCATTTAATTATAATCATCACTATGGACTAACTCCCTGCTAAAAATATTCTCAAAAAAGAATGAATTTTATAGAATATCTTAAATATTTTTGACCATTACCTGAACCGTTCTTGCCCAGCCGTGTCCCAGATCTGCAGCTTTACTGTCTTCCCACCAACATTCACCACTCGGGAACCAAACTCCACTCCGATGGTGTGGTTAGAGTCCTGTTTGACTGCACACATATGAAAAGAAGGGTTTTTTTTTAAATCAAAACAAATACTTTGTTTATGGACTTGTGGTTTTCTCAGTTTTGAAGAAAATTCTAGTTGTTTTTTTCCGTAACAATCTTAAATTTTTTTCTGCCAAAGAAATAAAATGAAATTTTATTATAATTCCCATAACTGGGGGACTTATTTTTTCTGTTCGTGAAACTTTTATTTTATAGGTAAAATAAAAACTAGATTTTTTTTCTCTCCCTCTCCTCTGTACTAAGCTGTTCAAAAAACTAAATCTCTTCCTGATCATTATATAAGCATATTTTACCAAGCTCGTCTCCATGGTCACTTCATCTTTGTAACTAGTTCAACAGGTTCTCCTGAAACACTGTTTAACTATCAACACGTGTGTTTCGGGCAAACAGAGAAGAGAACAGCACGGCGGCACCCGCTCTGCTGTGAAGACTCACTCAGGATTGGACAGTTAATAAACCAGAGCTCTGTAACTCTTAACTAGCATGCTCCCCCCCTGGTAAGCCCCCCCCCCCATCCATAAATGTATCCTTTTTTAATTTTATATACAAGTTTCCACATTGATTTCTTCTTCTACGTAGGTTGACTGTTAATCCTCTTCTTTTGAGTCACTTTGGACAAAAGTGTCTGTTAAAGGCTTAAATGTAAAAGAAAACACTGATAAATATGATACGAATATTCAAACCAACAGCAGATAAAACCATTTTTATCTGCATATTTACTTATAATACTTACTACTAATTAATAATTACTTTATTTCCTGCAATTTATTTAATTTTATTTTGTCTGCAGTAATTACAGGGTCTAGTCTAAACATTGTATTTTTGTTTTAATAGTTGCATTTGGAAAATGAAGGTGACATTGATACAACACACACGTTGTCTTCCCACCAGAGAACAGGAACTGAGTAAACACAGAACGGTCTGTGTAAAGGGTGTGTAAGTGTGTTTTCCTGCTTCTTTAAAGCACAACTGTAGGTTGATTACCATCATCATCTACCAGTTCTTTTTCCCCCCCACCTTCTGATGTCTACACTTACACTTGTTCTCAATGAATTGGTGGAGGAGGCAGGACTTCCCAGTGCCAGCGCTGCCAATCACCAGAAACTTAAACAGGAAGTCTGAAAATAGAAGGGAGGAGGGGTGAGGATTAATACGATAATACATGTCACAGGAGAATGTGAGCCTGCTGCTCTTTGTACTTCTTTGCTCACAGACAATCCTTCAATTTCCTCATAATCCCGCCGCGCGCCCACTTACATTAGTCTATAATAACACGCTGCGCTCTGTGAAACAAGTACTTAAGATTTTAATTTAATATCCCGCCACGTCTGAGGTCACAACTGACTTTAGTAGAAGCCTGGTAGAAACGAGAGCTCTTGTGAACAGAGAAAAGCCAGAGCTTAGGAGTGATTAAAAAAAACGTGTAAATTAGACAGTGACTGAATCAGTGACCACTGCTGGTTGAATAGATGTTTTTTTTTTCTGCTGATGCTGTGAAAACGCAATGATGCGGAGGATTCAGAACGACTTGTTGCTCTGAAGTGGAGAGAAGACATTGTCCTCCGTGCTGCGGAAACTGAGAGTGTATTTAACATTTACATACAAATGGGCTGCACTGCTGCTTTCACTGGTTTCGTGAAGTGTGCAAGAATCCTCTGCGTGTCTGTAAACAAAAGCTACAGTGATACTGAGAAAGTGGAGCAGCCAAATTAACACTGGTGTTTGAAAACCAGGGTTAATTTGGATTAGTGCTTTGACGAACTTGTAATTTAGTGCCTGTTTACTTAATAAGAATGACAAAAATATACAGTAATTGGTCCAAATGCTGTTTCCTTGGTCACCAGATTACAATACAGTGTTATTTACAATTTTACCTAGGTTCCTATTTATTGTCATCTGACACCTTTGTGATCAGGAAGACTACATATGTCCCATACAGTCATTAAATATGTTAGACGGACAACTGAACGTTAGCATGTGTGGTACACATGTAATCAATGAAGTGGATTTGCCATGTAAAGAGACAGTACAGATACGGCAGAGCAAACAGCACCGGCTCGTACTGTTGTTATCTTCCATACAAACCAAGTCTTTATTACGCCATAAATGGTTGTGACAGCGGCACTAAAAGTTCCAAAAGCAAACACATCGGTTGTAAAAGCCGGCCCTGCCTGCAGCAGACACATCACACATCCTCACCCGAGGTCTCCACACAACAATCAGGCTGTCAACGTGTCACGCTGAAAAAAGATGCAAACCTGCTGCAGTGCACTGTCAGCTGCAGGCTTCCCGGCTGCTGTAATTTTTACACATTAATATTGAATTACCTTCGAGTCAACAGACTAATACTGATGTTGGCGTTCACTTAAACGTTATGCTAACGTGGAAAATCTACCCGAGGGGTCAGAATGGTTTGTGTGCTAATGTCAAAAATTGGGACAATTAGACTTAATGTTAATTTAAATGGTAATGGTAGATGCTTAAACGCTTTGAAGATGGAGGAGAGAATAATTGATACACGTGTGTTTTTACAACAAAAACGTCAAGTGAAACTTATATTAAATAGTCAAGTTGAAAACCTGATGGTTAAACTACATCACAAATACTTAGAGATGAAAGCAGACATATGAACTATATTCACTAAAACAAAATTTTAATTGGTCAAAGAGGATTAGTACTTAGTTCTTTAGAGGCCATTAAAGCGTCCAGTGCTAAAAAAATAACCCAAAGGTGAAACCTGTGTCCAGATTGAACTACAACCTGAGTCGGTGCAGCATTAATGTCTAGCCCTGGTCCTGCACCAGAAGGGACAACAGTGGAGCCTGAGACAGAAATCAATAGACAGTTATTACAGCGAGCTACCATTAGTGCAGGCACTTTTGCACAAATACCGTCTGTGTCCACTGAGATAAAGTTTCACACAAGGAATGAAGGAGACAGAGTAGACAAACAAGTAGATTCAGAAATAGATGTTGTAATGGCATAGGAAAAAAAATAACCCTGAAAGTTTTATTCGCAGCCATTGGTTTTGCATTTGCAAGAGAAACTTCATTTTGAAAGAGCGTACAGTAGCAGACCAGGTTCTGACTTTTTACATAAGAGGACATGAAACAGTGGAGCAGATGGTTGTGCTGAGTGCACGTCACACGGAGTGGCCCACTTGTTTTGGGCAATTACACAGATGAGGGGTTATTGACCTTCTCAGGAATCAATTTGATTAAATAAACTCCATGTAAATGTATGTAAATGGGACACACACACTGGTCGGTCTGTACTTCCCTGGATGATGATTACTTTTAGGCCATATTTTCTGTTTTGGTATTCCTTATGGGCGAACGTTTTAATATGTGATTGTTATACGCAAAAATAAATATATAAATAAGTTTCCGAATTCAGGGTTAATAAAAAGTGTTAACAGAGATCAACAATAATTATTAAAAAAAAATTAAATCATATTTAATATAAGCCTGCAATTGGGGTATAGATTCTAGACAAAGAACTCAATGGAATTTTGGGGCTGGTTAGGTCACTGTCTATTAAGTCAGCTGGAAGTCATCTCTTTTTTTTACTGCCCACTGCCAACTTAGTGTTGTGTAATAGTAATAAAATAGTGCAAAGTCACAGCCCTGTTTGTTAAGCTTCAGAGAATATGAATATTTTCAAACTATGAATTCCTGAAGGGTCTTGGAGTCCTTGATCTACTTCGTAGTCAGAGTATAAAACGAAGTTTTTAAGCCACCTGTTATGTCTAACAGGTCTACTAAAGAAAAAAAGCAGAAAATAGTATGGTTTTAAATCACACAGAGTCTAACGTTTGAACCCACTGGGGGTTAAAGGTGGAGCCCGTGGTCAGGGACCGTGAACCTGTCCAGACAATCAGTGCCACTGCCATCACAACAGTTGTGTCATTGTCTTTCTGTCTCCTGGGTTGATCATTTATCAGTATAGAGTTCTTCC